GACCCAGTGTAACGTTCTTCTTTATAAATACCTGGTGATCTCATGCTCAGTCACTAGGAGCTCTTCCACTGATCTCAGCAGCTGTTGGATCAGGCTAAAGGTAAAAGGTGTTCTGTGGAGAGAAAAAAAAATGGTGTAACTTTAATATTTTATTTCCATTCTTTAATATTTTAATCATTTCAAGGCTTATTCCTTCAAAGTGATTTGTAAACAGCTCTAAAACAACATGCAGCAAAGATTTGCAAGAAAATTACTTGGGCCAAAGACCTACCCTAGCAGTTAGCTCTTCCATAGGCCCTTGTGCATGTAAGCACAGCACAAGAGGATCTAATGCTGTGCAACTTTTAAATTACTACTTCTTTTGTTTTCCCTCTGTTCTTATGAGAAGGAAGAGGAAAAGTATTCTTTGAAATGAGAACAAGCCACTACAGAGAGACAGGAACAGAGCAGAAGGTCCTTGCAGTCCTTGCATAAGGAAACCGTTTGTGTACAGTGCTTGTTACCATCTCTGCTGAAGGACGTATGCTTATTTATGTTTTGTTATTGCTCTGCACATATGCTAATAAAAACCACCAAAACTCAGCTTGCAGGTTGCTGAACATTCGCAGCCATATGGCAGCCATAACCAGTGATACTATTTTTTTCTAGATATAATGCTACGTATTTTGAAAATCAGTAAGGAACACATAAATAACATTAATGATATGACTACATTAAAATGCAAGACTTAAAATATGGTGCCATCAAATATGCAGTTGTTAAGTAGTTATTTGGTGTGCTACCAGACAGAGGAACATTTTGCAACAGGAACAGAAGAAATCATGGCTTTGGGGATTTTCCTTTACAATTTTGAAATTCTATCAGTAGTACACAAGGATTAAAGGAGATTTTAAAGAAATTACAGAGAATCACAACAGAAATAATGTGATAATGGCTGCGTAGCTTGAAACAAGTATGCTTTGGAACATGCAGAACAAACGTAATATTTCTTTTTGTGTAGCTGTTCTGACTGAAAAGTTAAAATGCAAGGAAATATCAGTCTTTTCAAATTCTAAGAAACTTTCAGAGATAAAAGCTGATATGTTGAATATTTCTTAAGAAGAACCTCAGCATCACACTCAAAATCCTTTCCCTACCCACCTATCATCACCTCCATTAAGTGTATAACATCGGACTCATGCAACACATTTTTGATGAGGTCCTGCAACAGCTAGAAATTGCAGGCATACAAGAGACTAGAACTGAATTAAAATAGTCAGCACCTCACTGTTCCCAAAATACTAAGATTTTTTGGGGGATCAGGAACAGGCTGCCCAGGGCAGTGGACATGGCCCAAAGCTGCCAGTGTGCAAGAAGTATTTGGACACCACTCTCAGACACAGCGTTTGAATTTTGGGTAGTCGTGTATGAATCCAGGAGCCGGACCCAATGATCACTGTAGATTCCTTCCAACTTGGGATATTCTATGATTTTGTGATATATGCTCGACAAAACAATCAAAAGTTTTGGGGCAACATTATTGCCAATAGTTAAGCAGGTTATATTATCCCTAAATATTTCTAATATAAATGCAGACTAGCTGGGAAAACAATCACGACATTCACATGTCTGGGTGGGAACAAACCATCTGTAGGGACTGCGCAGTTGGCTAAGGAGTGAAGTTCACTGATTCTCACAATCCAATGAGAGCTCATTAACACTTCCTCTGACACAGCTCACACACTCCTTTCCTCACCTACCACTCACTGTTCTTGTCTTTCTTGTCTCACCTACAGCTATTTAATTGGTTGATGCGATTGGATTAAAGATTTTGCTCATATAGACTACTGAAACATCCAACTGTTAGAGGCTAAGCTTAAGGTTAGAGATTCAAGACCAGATGAGGCCTGACAGGTCCTAAAGTTTTTGTTTTTGTTTTTGTTTTTAAATAACTCAAGGCCCATTATAACCACAATCTAGCTCAGCTAATGGCTGTTAATGGGCTTTCTGACTTTAGCCAGAATAACATCTTAGCTACATGAGTGCTATAGTTCAATTATAAAAGACATAATTGCTTGTGGAAGGCAAGCTTGCTTTCAGCCTGCTACACTGACACTTAAAAGCCCTGCTCCTTGTGAGACTGAATCACCTCCCCTGGGCTCCACAGCAGTTATCGCATACATCCATTGTACTCCTCCTCATTCACCTTCTTTCCAAGGTGAAAAGATTGTTGTCTCCTGGAAGCCTCTCCATACAGAACAAACAAAAGTGGCATTGAGGGTGGTCCTTCCCATCTCTGGTGCACCCTCTTGGAGGCCTGAGCCACAGGCGCCTTTAGAGCTGCAGGCACACAGCGGATCAGAAGCAGTTGAGATGCTGCCTGATTTGCTCTCTGCGTACCTCTAAATATTGTCTTATAATGTGTTATACATTCATTGAACAGTCCACAAGGGACACCAAGAGACATGTTTTATGTAGCCATCGCTATGATTTATATAGCTAGGTGTGGTCCAGAGCTCCTGTTTTCAGAGTAAGCCTTGAGACAGCAACAAGAACAAAGACAACTCAGGTGTTTTGATTTTGGCATGAGGTAAACTTACTGAGATAATTTCAGGTATGATAAAAGAGGTTTGGGTTCAAGTTTTACTGCAAATAAGTTTTTTTGTTTGTTTTTTTTTTTGTTTTTTGTTTTTTTAAAAAAAGGATTGTTTTTACTACCCCCTTTTTATTATTTTTTTCCTCAGTTAACAACTCAAATTAAAATAGGAAGGAAAAGGATAGCGCTTTTAGCACTGAAGACCATTTCCCTGTGACCTAAGCTCTGATGCTTAAATCTGTAAATGACCTTGACAGGATGCGAGAGGAGATAGCAGATTTGACACAATGAAACAGCGGGAGACAGCAGATACATTCAAGAGGCTGGAAAAACAGGCTCACCATTCAGTATCTGTGTTTGGAAGTAATAATAGTAATAATAAACTATAACAAACAAATGTCTAACATTATTAGCTTAGGTATAAATGCTATGTCACTGCAGCATCATAAAGGCTTCTGGTCAACAGTATTCATGCAAAGGGAATTTGCACTAATGAAAAAAAATACACCCTTCTTCCATTTTGCATCCTCTTGCTCACCCACTGGGGAAAAAATGAGTAAGGCTGAGGGACACAGTATTCTTTCCATACTTCAAAGCTAGTACAAGGAATAAATTGCCTGATCTGCTGCTGTTTCTGGAAATGTTCACAACCCATAGCTCCATTCTGCCCTCCAGTCAGCCAAACCTTTGAACAAACATGTTTAATTCATCCAGGCTTGGAGGTATTAGGTATGGAGATCTGTAATGTGAATCATCTGACAAGCCAGGAGCACTGACAGTGGCAGCAGAAAACAGGAGAAAGATGGCTGAGAAGGCACTGGATGTTAAGTTCAAGCTGCTGGCAATCAACCAAGAGACACAAAAAAACCCTCATATTCTAAGGCTGGATTTGGTACTACCTTCACACTCCAGGAAGCTGAGAGGCCTTGGCAATTGGTGACATGGGGGAGGCCAGATTCAAATCCAGCTGGGATGTGTTAGCAGAACGGCACCCAGTGCCGCAGCAGTATTAATGATGCTACGGCAGAAAGTAAAGTTCTGGGAGTGGTACAGGAAGAAAGGGGAAATACCAAGAGCCTACTGCCAGGGCATATAAATGTTTTGGGGCTGTGTTCACTTAAGAGGGGTACTGCAAATCAGAATTTGAGAAACACAGGGCATCTATCAGCTTGCAGCAAGTTTCAAAGCCTTCCTGATTGACCTCCATCCTTTCTTACTTTCTCTGTTCACTTGTGCATGAAGAGCAGTTTTCTTCTGCCAGATCGTTAATTATAATGACAGATTCAACCAATGTTCACTGCAGTACCCTTGTGTATGTCACCAAAGAGTGACACTGCTTTCCATTTACCCAGGCCTTTTGCTTACAGCTCATCAGTCACTTTCTACTCCAGGAACCAATTTCTCATCCATACCCTGTGCCAGTCCTCTTTGAAGACTGGGAGTCCTTGTGTGGGACCACTTCTAGGAATCTCAGGAATGCTGTTCTACCTGGTGCATTTTCTTACACTGGAAGTACAGCTGGATATTAGGAAGAATTTCTTCTCTGGAAGAACGTGAGGCAGTGGCACAGGCTGCCCAGGGAGGTGGTGGAGTCACCATTCATGGCGGCATTCAGGAACATCTGGATGTGGCAGTGAGGGACATGGGCAGTGGGCACGGTGGGGATGGATTGGGGTTGGATCAGATGGTCTTAGTGGTCTTTTCCAACCTGAATGATTCTGTGATTCTGTGGAATGGCTATTAATTCGAGTTACTACTGCTAGTCTCTTCTCACCTCAAGGCCTTGGGCAGCCTGAGCTGGTGGTAGCAGTTGGTGCATGGCCCTGCCCACAGCAGGGAGTTGCAACTGTGGGGGCTCCTTTGCAACCCTAGCTATTCCGTGATGCACCACACTTGGCTCACGTTAACTCCCTTTAGAGCATTTTGCACCTCGCAAGAAGCAGCCCGACCACTTGCACAACCAGTCACGCTCTCAGAACCAAGGCTCCCCTCAGTACACAGCCCGGCCCGCAGTCACGCCCAGCCCTACCTGCCCCCCAGGCCTTCCCGCCCTCGGCGCCCGCCGCCGCGTGACACCGCCCCGCTACCCCATTGGACGCCGCGTGACACCGCCTTGCTTTTCCATTGGCCGCCGCACCCGGAAGGGGCGGTGCGACCGCTGACCCGCGTGTGCGTCGGCTGAGGGGCGGCCGCGGGTGCGGGTCTCGGCGGCGGCCTGCCGGCTAGCAGCCAGCCGGCGCCGCGGCTTCCTGCTTCTCCCCGGTTCCCTTCTCCCGCAGCGGCCGAGCTGCGGGGCGGCAATCGGGTAGGCGTGCGCTCTCTTCTCTTCGCGGAGGGGCGGGGCGGGGCCGGCAGCCGCGTGGCGGCGGCTCGGGGCGGGGTCCCGCCGGCTGATTTGTGGCGAGGCGGCGGTCCGCCTGCCTGGCCAGAGGAGATGTGCGATAGCAGCGTGTGAAGCGTCTAAAGTAGCTGCCGGGGAATGCGGAGTGCTTGTCTCCTTGGTCGGCCAAAAGCAGTGAGAAGTTAACAATGCAGGGTTTGGCCGCATCAGGAACTCAGTTGGCACGGATGTGAGGATGCTGTCAGTTTGTTTCGTGTTAGAAAGCTGCCTCAGGCCGAGCTAAGCCGAGGTGAGCTTACACTCCGAGCAGTGATTGTGGCCGGGCACGTCGCTGTGATGCACAGTTCCATATGTGCTGCGTGAGGCTGCACGGCTGGGAGAGCACTGTGTGCTGGGGAGGCTGTATGGCTTTTCTCTGGGTACTTTAGTAACTTGAGCAAGGCCTTTTTGCTAGTTCTGGGAATATATTACAGATTAAGAGGCCAGTTTTATGCGAACTTGGAAGCTTTTTTATTGTTGTTGGTTTTTTTTCCATTTAATGCCTAATAGGGCACTGCAATGGAGAGTACAGTGTCTGTTACGTTCCTCGTATCGTTTTTCATACTGTTGTGTGAAAGTTATCATCATGGAGTGGAGACAACTACTGTTGTGCAGACACTGGAGAGAACTTTTCCAGAAAAGGCAGCTGGCATTAATGATGACTTGGCAGGATTGAGACAGAAGCATCACCTTCAAGAACTTTTTAATCGTTATGGAGAAAACAACTCTTTGACAATTGAAGGATTTAGAAAACTGATACAGAACATAGGGATAGATAGAATGAAAAGAATTAAAATAGACCACAACCATGATCATGACCACGATCATCACCTTCATCATAACCACGTTTCCTTGAGTAAAAACTCTGAGAAGATTGTTTGTCCGAACCACGAATCTGATGCTAACAAAGACCCCAGGAACAATCATTCAAAGGAACCTCATAAAGCAGAGACTGCAGACCATCAGCACAACTTTGTTTACAGTAAGAATGCCGTTAATGAAATCACTGGGTCAATCAACACTACTCCCACAGACGGCAGTTCTGAACTGCAGAATTTGGAACCTGCAGAAGGCAAGTCTGTAGCTCAGGTAGGCCTGGCTGGATCTAACTCCATTAATATCACAAATGGAAGCAGCACGAGTTGGCTTGCAAACATCAAGTCAAACGAATCTCATGTTTCTCCGAAGGAATTGGAAAAAGGAAGTTACCTGTATTCCAAACTTAAAAACACAAATATGCAAGAGGTGAGATGCTCTGTTGTGTTCTGGGTCCATTAGGAGCATTGTTATGGCTTGCTTACTGGGAGCTTAATGTTTAACTGGGTCCAGGCTTTATAGTATAACTGTATTCATAGAAGAAACGTGGAACAGTAGCTTCTCTTGAATCATAACTCTTTGGCTTGAAAAAATGTTATGTCACAAGCTCAGAAAATACACACACTGTCTCATTTATGTAATACTCTTTTCTTAGAAGGAAATGCATGTTTACATTAAATATAAACACACGTTTGTTTTTATATACTTATTTACTTACTCTAAAATATGCAGTGACATCAAAGAGCTCTATTTAGGCAAGCGCATACAAGTTAGCAACACTCTGTAGGAAAACTCCCTTTTACTTTATGCAAAAACAGCAAGGGAACTTCAAGTACCCAAGGCACCATGGAGTGAATACTCAAATACTGTTTTCCTGAAATGAATTTCTTGCTGAGTAAGTGCAGCCAAAAACCACGCGTGCATGTGACTGTGACTACAGAGTTTGTACTTTGGTGCACGAGACTGGGAAATAAATAGCATGGGGCCCTGATCTGGAAATAACTGAAGAAGAAAAGTTTTCTGCAAAATGATGTCTGCTACTTTAAGGTAGTGAAAAAGAGTGCTGATGAAGTCAATCATTTTGTTGTAAACAGTTGTTACATGATCTTTCTGCACCAAGAGCTTTAAAAAGCAAGTGTTCCTCTGGAGTGTTAATTGTGTAGTTATTCTAGTTAGTTCAGAGCAGGCATGTGCAGCGTTTGATTAGTGGGTGCTGTAGCTGTGAATAATTGCTGCATTCTGCACAATCAGAGCAGAAGTGCTGCTGTGGGAATCAAGGGGAGTACTGAAGCCTGTAGGTCATGGAGTGGAAAGTTCTTTACTGAGGGAAGTGTGTGGTGTTAGTGCTCTGCAGAAGTCTTTCACAGTAGTGACATAAAACAAAGCTTAAGAGCTTTTTGTATTATTCCTTATCCAGCCTCTAAAACAGAGTCAAAACTGTTAGGCTTTTTCTAATCTCAAAACAAACCATCTGTTCTCCTTGTGTTGAGAATGTGTGATAATCACGCATCATCTGTCAGCGCTGCCCAGCTCGCCTTCTGGGCCAGAAGAGAGGATAAAGGTGTAGTTCTTACTGAAGTGATTTGTTACTGCTTTTTAATTACTGTCCGTGTAGCTGCGGTCATGTGGAGTTGCTACTGATTTCAATTAAGATAGGAGATGCAGTCACTTTAAGGTACGGTATTTTGATTCTGGCTAACTTTAAGAAATGTCTTCCCACAGTGCTCCAGTGCATCAAAGCTGATGCAGTCCCATGGAATAAGCACTGAAGTACTGTTGTCTGCCACAGAATTTAGCTATCTCTGCCCAGCTCTTATTAATCAGATTGATGGGAAATACTGCATAGTCCATGCGAGTAGCGAAAAAGCTGAAGCTCCTCCAAAAGGTTATTCTCTGCAAATAGGTAGGTTATTTTTTTTAATGAGAAATAAAAGCCTGCTCAAAACCCATACGTGTTATAAATCTTCGAAATGTTTTTCGAAGCTGATGATTTTCTTTTGGGGCTTTTTATCACATGTGGGCATAAATCTTTATGGCCCAACGCTTGCTAATATCTAATCAGATGATAAGAGTATTTGATTTAAAAAAAAAAAAAAAAAAGTTAAGCAAACAACGTCTCGTGTAGCAGTTGTTTACATTTTCTTTTTCTTCTTTTAACAGCTTGGATTGGTGGCTTTATATCCATCTCAGTCATCAGTTTCCTTTCTTTATTGGGGGTTATACTGGTACCTTTGATGAATCGTGTGTTTTTCAAATTTCTTCTGAGTTTTCTTGTGGCATTGGCTGTGGGGACTTTAAGTGGAGATGCCTTCTTACATCTCCTTCCACATGTAAGTATTAATTGCTGATTCATTAGTTATTTCAAGAGGGCCATATTGACAGCTGGCTGTATCTATTAGTGGTAGTTTCATTAATTAACATATGCTAGTAAGATAGATTATTTAATAGAAATATGTATTTTTTTCTCCTAATAACTTCCTGTTTGGAGCTGTTTGTATTATTTCTGTCAGTCTTGTAGCGTAAAACTTCACACCCCTTTCTCTCAAGCTGTATCCTGTTTTCTCAGTCATGCATGCTGCCAAATTGCTCACAGTTTGTCACGCACAAGAATTTTGCATAAATGCTTTTCTAGTCACTTATTGCAGTGCCATCTCTTTCTCCTCCATCAGTTTCATGAACCTTATAGGCAACAGAAATAGATCACTGTGCTCTTTAGATGGGGAATAGAAAATCCACTGTTTCATGTTGTCAGACATGTATGTTGATTGCTTATCCATTGTAATGGTTTTTTTTTTTTTTTTTAATCAGAATTGAACATTTCTAAAGTCCTAAAAATACATTACTTGATAGGCTTTGAAATGTTCCATTACTGATAGGTAATACAGACAATAAAATTGGAATATGGTCGTAATATTTCTAAATTTCTTGAAGCTCTTGATCACATTTCTAGATGCAGCTTCCAAGTAAGATGTACTAAACAGCAGGTTTCAGAGCTGTGAGTTCTTTCTGTTCATTTCTTAGTCTTGAACTTTCCATGTGATGTCCCTGAAAATCTAAATGTATGCGTATGAATGTAATGCATGTGTGCATTGTATCTGCAAGTAACTTCACTGGGAGAATGAAAGCCAGGACTGTTCTCAGTAGTTTCTGTCAAGAGATTTTCCTTGTAATTGCTTGAGGTTGTATCCTGAGCATTTATCCCATTCTAAGTGCTAAATCTGTACTCAAGATTTGAGGAGAGAATGTAGAGAGAGCTTTGTATGTTTCTTTTGTTGTCAATTCTTCTGAATATAATTACTTCCCCTCTTGCTTCTCCCTTTAGTCTCATGGAAACCACCACCATCACCACGAAAAGGCTCCGCTTGAACAGAACAGAGGTCCTCTGTTCAAGCATCTTGTTTTTCAAAGTACAGAAGAGAGTGCTTACCTGGATTCTACATGGAAGGGACTTACAGCGCTGGGAGGCTTGTATTTTATGTTTCTAGCGGAGCATTTGATCACTTTAATAAAGCAGTTTAAAGACAAGAAGAAAAAGGTAGAGAAACAATTGATTTGAATTTGTTGCGTTGCATGATGACTTCTGAGTATGCTTTTATAGAAACAGAAGGATTGTGTATATTGTTATTGGATAAAGTAGCAATTGCTGACTAGATTAGCACTCTGTTCTGTTTCTTTTGGTGGCTTTCAAACTAGACAGTGGTTTGGTTTCTTTTTTTTCTTTTTTTTTTTCTTTTTTGTGGTCATTTTGGGGAAGAGTTCAGAACTGTCTCCTTAACTGTCTCCTGACAGGTAGCGTGTGTGTGAATTGTTTAATAAGCACACAGCTTTGTTTTAAGTTAGAAATTTGGGAAGTTATTGTTCATTATTGACTTTCTTCTGACTTCTTAAGGAGATCATAGGATTGTCTAATTCTTAAAATTGTTCATTTAAATCTAAAATTCAAATGTAATAAGATGGCCTTGTGCAGTTACTGCATTACTGCTGAAGGAGCACTTCCACAAAATGGATAAGGGCAGCAGTCACTCCTTAGGCAGCTCAGCATCTGTCTGCACTGTAGAGGGTGACAGAAGGTGATACCTTTAGTTGGCATTTTGCTTGGAAATACCACCTTGGAAGTTTTACTCTCTCCCAAAATGACAGTGCAACACAGCCTTCACATTACTATGCTGTGTTTTATGTGGAAGGTGTAAATAATGATTGATTCCAGTGAGTTGTAAATGCTAGAACAGCAGATTCAGTGCAGAAGTTGTAAGCTCTTTTACTTGGATCCCAGCTGATTCTGTCAGTGTGGTTGATGCTGGAGTAAGTGAAACTAACTGAGTGACAGGATCACTTCCACCGTCTTTAGTTAAATGTATTCACAAGGAGATGATGTGAAGAGTTACAAGCAAAGCTAGCATTTTCTGTATCCTTATGTCAGCCACTGAGAATGGATTTCCTGTTGAACTTAGGGACAAGGCTTTCTACATAGCTATTGATTATAAACTTTTGTGACACTGACTTTAACAAGCCATGAATGAAGGTTTTTGTTTGGCTTTTCTTCAGTATGCCAGCATTAAGCATTACACTGATGTTACAGATCTAGCAGAGTTGTTCTTGTTAGGCATATTTTTGTGTTTTTTACTTATCAAATGAATCCTTCTATTTAGTCCTTTCACAGAAGTACATGGTATTTACTTATTCATGTTCATTTTTTCACTCCTTTGGAGCCTGGGGAACTTTTGTCTTTTTACTGTACTTAAAAGAATTTCTAATGTTCCTCTTTTGCCTCCTTTATATGGCTTCCATGTTGTCCTCTTTCTGTGCAGACTGCATAAATGTTGTGAATATAATATTGCTCATGTATATCCTGAAAAATAAGTAAAATATTCATAACTGCAGTATTTTCTTTTGGAATAAGAAAAAAAATGAAGATGATGGAGAAAGTAAGAAGTTTTCAGCGAATGAAGAAAAGTTAGATACAGATGATCGTAAGTCTCAGTAATATCACTGCACAGTTGTTCTTGTGCAACAGCACAGCTTAAAAAAGCACTGTATCTGATTGATGGCAGTTTATTCATTTGATTCTTACTGTAGGTTGATCGCTACCTCCTTCCAACTTATCCAACCTTTCTAAAGAAGGTAGTGGATTCAGTTTAGAAACGAGTGTTTTGAAGTCATTCTGGGAAGCTCTACTGGCTATGCCTGCTGCATGTGTAGACGTACCTAATGACTTCTACACTTCTATTAGACTGCTAGATGTTGGATACAGAAGTCTAAATAACAGACCATGCATACTTAAGTCCAGTTTTCTGGGGGTTTGAATGTTTATTCTTAAAGTTGATAATCCATAATCCAAGATGTTCAAGTACTTCATCTGCAAATGGTCGGATGTCTTGAAGATCATGTTGCGAACAAAGCCACACCTCACTAGGTATTTGTAAGCTCTTGTAGTTAAGAGCAGCTTCCAGTTTTTTCAGGAGGTAGTTTTCTGTCTAAAGAAAGAGATCTCAGCAGTGCAGGAAAAGAACTGCAGGCAAGGAACGTAACGAGACTGGAGAGTTTGTCAGATAAAATAGTCAATGTTAGTGTGCTGTTAATGTTCACATGAGGACGCTTCACATTGTGTTTATATTCTTGTGTGTATATTTTCAGGTGCTGAAGCTTAACAAGTTGTGTATATTATTTATTTCTGTACAGAATGCAGGGAGGTTGCCAGAATTTTGCATGACATAATCTTGTTCTCTTGCGCTCTTACTTCTTAGCCCAAAGATGAGTTAATGTCATATGCATTTCAGTCTTCTTTCTTCTGAGGCAATTGAGCTAACAGCTTTCATGCTATGAAATTTGAACATAGTGCCTTATGCTGTTGTACTTAAATTGCACTGTGTCTTAGATGAAAAGTTGTTTTTTTTTATTCTTCTTCTTTGACTTTTTAGGAGACATTTGTGGCCACAATGTATGGGACTGCTTTAGTGTTAGGAGACAAAGTAAAAGCTTTTTATTGTTATGACATAAGAATTTTCCCCCAAATCTGATTAAAACAAAAATTGGTTGTGGAAGCATTTGGTACAGCACACTGGGTTATCAACTTCAACTTTCAGACTTGCTATTTTTTTTCTTTATCAATTATTTGACTTGCTCATTTTATCTTTGCTTCCTGGATGACTTAAAAAATATATAATATTATGCTCTGGGTTTTTGTAACAGGGTCTGAGGGCTATCTAGGGACAGACTCACAAGATCCATCGCCCTTCATTTCTCAGCAGCCAGCGGTGCAAGAAGAAGAAGAAGTCATGATAGCTCATTCTCATCCAGAGGAGGCAGATAATGAATATGTATCCAGAGGCTGTAGGAACAAATGTCATTCTCACTTACACGATACTCTTGGACAGACAGATCATCTGAGTCATCACCACCACGACTACCATCACATTCTTCATCACCATCATCATCAGAACCATCATCCACACAGTCACAGCCAGCGCTACTCACGTGAAGAACTGAAGGATGCTGGCATAGCAACTCTAGCATGGATGGTGATAATGGGAGATGGACTGCACAATTTCAGTGATGGCCTAGCAATTGGTAAGTGTTGGTTTGAACACAGCAGTCAGGTGTGACTGTAGCCAGGCATTGCTGCCATGTGTCTTTTTTGCACTATTGTGGCAGTTCTTCCTCATACTTGTACAGGTCTGTGGAAGGTGAGTAGTGCTTTTTATGTTCTGGCAGTGTCTAAGTAGGGCACTGGTTACCAACTGTCAGAAGAACAACTCATGGAGAGGATATCAGTAATATCAATGTATGCTGCCTTTATGCAGATCTCTGCTTCAAGAATGTCTCCATTAATTGTACAAGTATAGAATAAGTGCATTCCTTCCGGCACTCAGTGTCCTGAACAGATTCAAAACAGGCTTAGTCTCTCTTTTTGAGAAAATGTTTAAAAAGCGTTTTATTTTTCTCAAATACTGATCTTGCTCAACTCAAAATCTGCTCTTAGTGTTTTTTTTTTAATTTCAACGAAGTTTAATTATATTAAAGATGGTACAGTATTCTTATAAACAAAATCAAAACACTTTCCTTTTTGTTTAGATTCCTTTCTTTTCCTTCATGCATTATAGTCTTCAGTCTTTTTTGACAGAACTTTAACTGAAAGGCCTTTTTGGTATGACAAATGAATAGATTAATGTTTGTGTTTTGGTCTCCTGGATTTGATCTTGGATCTTGGTGTCTCCTTTCTAGAAGGAAAAATTTGATGGTAGAACTAAATTATAGAAAGGGAAGTTAAATTAGTAATCATTCTTAGTTCTTATGCTGTTTTTTTCATGATCTTGAATTCAATAATTAATGCTATTCCACGTGGTGGTTTTGTTTTGTTTTAGCTATTGGATTGGATTCATTACCAGCCTGTACAGAGTAATGAAGAGTCAGTTCAGCAGGAACAGTCTTTCTATAAATTTTACTGCCTAGACAAGTCCATTCTTGTTTAAGCAGAAAGCTCAATAGTAACTGTTTTCTTACAGCAGTATTTGCAGTTGTTCAAGTTCAGTCAGTTCAAAGAATAATGTGAGAAGAGACCTTCTGTGATTTAATCTTTTATTTTTATTTCTTTATGAAAGTTGAAGTGTGGAATGTAAATTTTCTAGCAGATGAGTTCTGAATGTGTGGTAGAAGAAGGATTTGCATTCAAATTACATGCAGAATCAATTATCTCTTAGCATTTGGGAGGTTTAGAAAGGAACTATGATTTAATAGTTATGAAAAGAAAACTATGAGAGGCTTATAAAAGCTTACTGAGCAAGCGAGAGCAGTAGCCTTTAAAAGTTCTGCCGTGTTCAGACTAATGAAAGTGGAGATTATTATTATTTTTAAGTTCTGGATGAGTTTGAAAACCACCTACTTGATGTTTTGTCCATACTACTTATGTAATATTTCTGCTTATTTATATGAAGATGTAAACATCTTCTGTGAAGATAAGTGAAGGGCTTTCTGGCTAAACTGAAGTTTGTTCATTTCATGTCATTTGTGAATTGGTAACTTCCGTCAGTTACTTTTTCCTTCAAATCTCTTGTGATTATTACATAGCAATGAGATTTAAGTGCTTTGATTTCCATCATGGAACACTTGCACTGACTAATCTTTATGAAATTATGCTCTGTGATTTGAACTTTTCTGTATAGCTTCAACTAAATAACTAACATGCAGAATGCTGTTTGTTTCCATACTAATCTTACCTATATTTTTTTCTTCTATTTTTTGAGAGAAGCAATGAGTCAAATATACTTGTAAATACCATAACACTATTAAATCAACTTCTTGGGGAGGAATACCATCAATCAGATTCATTAGTGTAGTATTCAGTTTGCTGAAAATGTGTTAAAATATTAGTAGTCAGTGAAAAATAAAAACAAATATTCCTGTTCTTAAGCTTCTCTTTTGGTTGTTATGAGTGCAGTATGTGCATTATACAGCTTTCTCAACTACTTAGATGGTCGGTAACACAGTCAGCTTTTGTATGGTTTGCCTTGGTGGCCACAAAATTAGGTTTACCTTTTGTGACTTAGCTGGACTCTTGTATTTTCACTTCCTTCTAATAAGTGATAAGACTGAAAACATTGTATAAAGGCAGTAATGTAGAGGAACTCCTAGATTATTGAGGATGCAGGCATGGGAGAAGGTAATTACTTTCTGCTTTTCTTATCTACTCTCTTCAAGAACTGAAGCCCAATTTAATTCTGAGGAGGTCTCTTGTCTTAGGAGATAACTGTAGCTATTCTGTCTCTTTCAAAATCTGACTTGGAAACTATAAAGCAGTATTTAGAAGAAAACAGATTGATGCGTAGAGAAGATTGATAGTTTTTACTAATAGCCTCTTTAGCTAGTCAAGTAGCAGTAACTTGTCAATTATGTGTTAATTACTGTGTAGACTGCCATGACTAAGTGTTTTGGAGTGCTGTGTGAAATACTCTTGTTGAGGTCTTAAATCAAAATAGCTTTAGTCTTGCACACTGCAGCTCACTGAATTGAACTTGGAAAATAGAACCATAAAATGGGATGCTCCTCGGAGGTCACTTGAAACACAGTGCTTGGAAACACTCGGTGGAGCCAGTCATGGATCCGCACAGCCACCCCTTGGATACTTCCATGGATGGATGTTTCTCCCCTTCTGTGGCCAGCCTTGTCTGCTGTTGCACCTCTCTCTTAATAATGAAGGTTTTATTTATGTGTAGCCCGAAGCTCCTGGTTGTAATTTGCAGCCTCTCTGACTCATTATCTCTCACTGCTTTGAAGAGCTAAGCTCCTGCTTTTCTATTTGCACTGAAGGTGGCTGTGGGCTGCTGTTTATTCTAGTGAAAGAAGTGGAATTTAAATATGCACAGCTTCCTCAAGCTTTTAGACCATGTGCTGTAGGCTTCTGATCATCTTGTAAGCCTTTGGGCAGTATGCACATCCACCTTGAGCTATCTGTTTTAGGCAGTATTTCTATGCTAGATCAAGTGAGCTTTGGTGGTCTCCATACCACCATGCTTGCAGTTGAGGAGGACTGCAAGCAGTGGGCTTCCTTATGCAATAGCTGTGGTTGGCAGGTCTGCCTAAGGCATCTACCCTATGTGAGAGGGAATTGCCTGCCATTGAAAAGTTTTCTTCCCGTTGTGCTGGCCCTAATCTGACCATCTGAAGTGTTGGGTGAATATTTTGGGCTGAGCAGAACTCATTTTCCTGGCAACTGTTGCCGGAAGTGTGACAGTTTTTTGCCTGGGTGGAAGCTGCTGGAGTACTGGTGGAGAGATGGGCTTCTTTCCTGTGCTCTCACAGCTGTGATAGCCATCCCTCTGCCAGCCCTACTCCTGGATCCCCTGCGTGCAAGCAGCTACAAATGACTCCTCTTTGCAGCATGGTATTGCGCTTGTTTCAGAAATCAGTGAAGTTTGGTTTGCTTTAGAGGATTAGAGGGCATTATGTTGCTTTGGGGTGACATGTATCAATCTTAAAAACTTCAGTGACACTTCTGAATGCTTGCTGAAACATAAGAAGGTTTGAGAGAGAATAATTTTGTCCTAACTTAATAAGAAGCTGCAACAGTATGTCAGCATTTGATGACTGAACATGACCTAATGTCTTTTTTTCTGTCTTTCTGTAGGAGCAGCCTTTACTGAAGGCTTATCAAGTGGTTTAAGCACGTCTGTGGCTGTGTTTTGCCATGAATTACCTCATGAGCTAGGTAAGACCCCAATATTTCAGTATGCTGCAGCCACCTAGGTACTCGCAGGTGCGCTCTGGGGAATTGTAGGTTATTTTGTTCTGTTTTACAGTACAGTTTTTTGATAAGTCAATTCAGCCGTATCAGACTGTTTACTCAATGATACTTTTATTTAAAATAACATTTATGAACTGCATTAATATTCCTTTAAAAAATCTAAACGTCTCTGCTACCATGTTTAATTCTCTTGTAGAATTTTACAAATTGTTCTGCATAGTTTGTATTTCTTATTCTTCATAGCACAGATAGTGAATGGCAGAAGAGTGCATGTTAGCATTTGCTTTTGTCACATCTGTTAATTTTATTCTCATGTGCTATTGAAATTAAGATTACAACTAGTCAGAATTCTTTCTGTGTAGTATGTGCTGCTTTTTCCACTAAGGTAGTTCCTCACTTAAATTAGAGCTACTTAAAAAAGAAAGCATTTTAGAATATTTTAAGTCTAAGTGATCAAAATTCATGACCACAATTGCTTATAGGAATGCCCATAAGCTTGCTGTTATGCCCTGCTCCTGAGAGCAGAACTTGACTTTTTGGTTGAACTCTGGAGAAGAAGCAGCTCAGGGGAGACCTTAGCACTATCTACAGTTCTCTGAAAGGAGGTTGTGGTGAGGTGGGGGTTGGCCTCTTCTGTTACTATCGATTGGACAAGGGGGAATGGCCCCAAGTTGCACCAAGGGAGATTCAGGTTGGATGTTAAGAAAAATTTCTTCTCAGGAAGAGTGGTCAGATGCTGGCAAGGGCTGCCCAGGGAGGTGGTGGAGTCACCAACCCCAGAGGTGTTCAAGAAATATTTAGATGTTGTACTGAGGGATGTGGTTTAGTGAGGAAATGGTGATTTGGTGATAGGTGGATGGTTGGACTTGGGTGATCTTGGAGGTCTTTTCCAACCTCGGTAATTCTATGATCTCCTTTCCAGTTGTTGAAGCATTTTGAACATGTAACTGATAGTTCTTTCTTGGTCACCGTGGTCTTACCTGGTGTACAGAATGAGGAAAGAACAGTTTGCTTACACTTCTTAAACTGGTTTAATCCTCTAGAAAGTGGACTGCTCAATTAATTTAATGGAGCTTGTAAAACAACATGTATATATCAAACTATTTATTAAATCATACATCTGGCTGTCTGTACAATCATGTTGTAGAAATAAATTACTTTCTCTGGAGAACATTTGTGGTTTTATGGCAGGGAAGAAATTATCTTGTTCATCTCAATATAAATTCTGTAGGAATTACACAACTTGTATTAACTACACATACAAGGTGTCATTAATACAAGCATACAAAATAAGTTCATGTTATACATCCAGTGCTTTGGAGTCAAATGTTGTTTGCTTTCAGGCAAGAAATCTTTCTAAAATTTAAATCCTGCTATTTCAGCCAATGCAGAAAACTTACTGTGAATACCTTGTTTACCAGAGAACATGGAATGAAACAAATTGGGCTAGCTGATGTTAACTGGGGAAGAAATTAGATCTTCTTGTTCTTAATGCTAAGCAATGTTCATAGTGTTACACCAGTTAATCTTAATTGTATCATCTTGTGGGAAAAGCTGTTGTAACAAACTTCTCAACTCCACTTTGGAAACTGCTTTTAATTATTTTAACTGGAGAGAGGTTACTTCTTTTTTAATTAGAACCAATTTATTTATTTTTTTTTTTCCAAGTAGTAAGCTTGCATTATTTTAGTCCCTTTTGTTTAGATACATTATACTGGTCTTAGGACAGATTTCTACTCTGAATGATGGGAGATCTTTCTGGCTGGTGACTGATCAGTCTTTTAAACAAAATTAAGGCTTTAAGGGTCACTTAAAAATTAGTGAAGACTTCCTAAATTTAAGAAAGCTACAGTTAAAATACTAAGAAAAGTTTCAAAATAAAAGGAATTATCTTGGTAACATTGATTTAATCAAATACGTGGGAATGCTTTTTTTAGGAACTGACTTGGGGTGCACGTACATATCAGGTGGAGCAGTACGTTGGTTGAAAGACAAACTACACTAAAAGCTTTTCCTTTCAAAAATCATGAAAACGTAAGGCTGTGAACTTGCTGCGCTTGTTCTTGTGTATTTTAATTGTTTTCCCACTGTTTTCTAACTTTGTGAAGGAAAACGTAAGGCAAATGACAACCTAATCACTTCATCTTATAAGAAAGAGGAAAATATGACATGCTGCAATAGCTTCCTGGGGGTGTAAGCTTCTGTTTTCTGCTGCTGTAGGAGATTTTGCCGTGCTTCTAAAAGCTGGCATGACCGTCAAGCAAGCTGTGCTTTACAATGCCCTGTCAGCAATGTTGGCCTACCTTGGAATGGCAACTGGGATACTCATTGGTCATTATGCAGACAATGTCTCCATGTGGATATTTGCACTTACTGCTGGCTTATTCATGTATGTGGCACTTGTGGATATGGTAAGTGGTTGTGTTTACGTATCCTGTGTTACACATAACATAGTGTAAGAATTGATATCAATTAAACTTTGGCCATAAATTATTCTACTCTCTCTTCTTCAACATTTTTTTGGTGCTTGAAGGGACTCAGAAGTGCTCAGCTAAATGTCCAGGTGCAAGATTGCTTTTAGTTAGATGACTGTTGGTGTGGAGTGTAGCAGATGGTGTGCAACTTGTAGTCTTGCTGGCTTTTTCCACCACCAAATGTGGTTTGGATTTTGCAGCAAAGCATTAGCACTTCTTTTGGTGAAGCCAGGATTGTATTAAAATCTCTCCTGTCTCTCAGAATTATGCTTGTACAGAAGTACAAAGTGCTTAATGGATGTTCATGGAAGATTAAGTGTCGTTTTAAGAATAAAATGCTTGGTGTGGCTTGATGAAATCAGTTGGTAAATAAGCCAGCCATTTACTCCAAGCATAATTAAAGCATCAGCATAATTATCGTGAAAACAGTAATTAGACCAGTACTGACTCTGTGTGTGTAAATAGCTTATATGAAAGTAGACAGATAATGTTACTCATGTTGAGTGACACCTGATTCATGAAGGAGTATTAATGCAGCCAGCAGAAAAGTCTTGAGGAGTGAGACTCAGCCATCGTGCGCCATATCATTGAAGAACTGTTCTAAATGACTGCTTATTTTGAAGGCTTTTAACACTCTCTTGTTTATTTAGGTGCCTGAAATGCTCCACAATGATGCTAGTGATCATGGATGTAGCCGCTGGGGATACTTCCTGTTACAGAATGCTGGGATTCTCTTGGGTTTTGGGATAATGCTGCTCATCTCGGTGTTTGAACATAAAATTGTATTCAGCATAAACCTGTAATTTTGCCAGGCTAAAGATTGGTGTTAAGTTATAATTGGTAGTTGTTGTTTTTATTCCATAATGGAGAGGTGTGCTTGGTATAGTCTAGGTATTTCTATTGGTGTGTTTTGTTGTCATCCTTGGGTCTTTCAATCTCCACCCCTTTTCTCTCCCATAGCAATGAGAAGTGTAAGGATTTTCACTCGGAATGTAGTGTTGCATACGGTACCATGACAAGACAAACTCAGTAAGTCATAGTGAGTGCCAAATCTATTAATGCAGTGTCTCCTGTGGTGGGGGCCAAAGTGTTTTTGTGAATTTATTTACTGTATGTAAATATATGCAACAGTGGCTTCTTTTTTTGTTTTTACTTCATGTTTTTGTTGGTATAAAGAAATAAAATGTCAGTGGTTCTTATTCTACCACAATCAAAACCAGTGAACGGAGAGCACAGTGAGCAGTGTAAAGCAACAAAGACATGCAGTACGTAGTGTGGATTTATACTGGTAGAAACTGATCTCTGTCCACTTTGTTTACAGGGGGTGGCAGATGAGCTCACCCCATCCTCTTGGTGGTGCTTCTCCTTGTGGGTTCTGTTTCCTACTCCAGTTGGTTTCTACTGCAAATGATTTCATGTGAAATTGTTTGAAGTGTTTGTGACAAGTATGTTTCACCTGTTTCTTCCCCACTGATAGCAGTTGCTCTTCACTGAATCCTCAAACTGGCAAGAGCAGTATGGCCATTACATTGTAAAATGTTTCTGTAGCTGTAGTATACTTGAATGCCGTTAAAGAGACTTTTAAAGCAGTGTTCTATCTCATTTATGCTGCCTGAAAGGGTGAAGTTATGTCACAGTTTTTGATATCATGGGGAGTAGTGTTAGTAGTCCTTTGCTGAGCCTTCTTGGTTTGGTTTGGGAAACGGGATGACTGGGAGAGCTGAATTCATCTAGTTCTGCATAATAACATAAGGTAAACCTGTGCTTGCAGAACAGTTGCATCCTTTCAGCTAAATCTGGAAGATCCAAAGAGCAAGCTTTCTGACAGCGCGTCTGCAGAAGCAGAATATGAGGAATAACCTGTATGTACGTGAGTGTGTGGTTTGAGCTTATGGCTATGGTCTTAGTATCTCAACCACCCTGAAAGTATCCGTAGGAAGGAAAGATGGAAAGGCCAATTGTCAGAGTGTGATTATTTTTTTGTTTTGACAAGCAGAATCCTGCATTTACAACGTTGCAGAATTGGTAGGAAATGCAAGCATTACATTATTGTGTGCCTCAACTTCTACATAGTAAGGTATGCTATCTTAACTCGCTTACTTAAAACCAGAAATAATCAATTACAGTTTTTCTCTGATTCAACTTTACCAGTGCTTCAAATCTTCAGCTGAGTAAAAAGCTTGAACGAAGAGGAAGTACTTGATGATCCCGTGTCTGACAAGTTAAAGCAGTCTGGCATATGGTGGTCTGTCATTAAAATGAAAGCCAAAACTGTGCATCAAAAATGGGTGTTTGGAATGAATTGTAAGATTTGGTTTTTGTTGTTTGTTTCTTTCTTTAACTGGATGAGAAACAGTGTATGCAGGCAGTGAGCTGTTACCTTTTTTTTTTTTCTTTTTTTTTTTTAACCTCCCTTAATTCTTTACTCAGGTTAAGCGGGCAGATTTATTTAAACTGCTTTCCACAGTGATGAAATACTGTTCTAACAATGTTTCTTGAGCAAGCCAAAATAATCAGCATAGATCTGTTAAGGTTTTGATGCCAGTGCCAGAGCTCATACTGAAGGATTAAATGAGAACAGATTTTTTTCAGACTTGTGTGGTGAATACTTACCCTTTTTTTTTTTTTTTTTTTTAACTCTGAAATAAGCTGTGGCTTGAACTTCATTTCTGTGCTTTTTTTTAAGAAGGTCAGGTATCAATCATGCCATAACAGTGGAAAATCACAGAAGGAAAATTAGTGTGCTCAGTAAAATATTTACAACATCTGAATTGGGAAGAAAAAGGAGCAAATCAAGCTCACTTTTCCTATCCTGCAAGAGGTTACATATCTAGAAGTTGGGAGAATTGTGGTGATGATTCCCTTGCAACTTTTTCCTTTTGAAAGCAGTGTGAGCAGAGCTTGTTATCATTCTCCAGATTGCCTGATCTGAAGGGACCTCAGCCTCAAAGGAGATGCTTGTTTCTTAAATCTTCCTGTAGTCAGCATTTGGCCAGAGTCTTTGGCACAGGATTTGTCTTGTTTCCTTTGAAGTCAGGAGGCAAAGGAAGAATAATGCATCCTAAGGGGAGCACTAAGGTGTGCTGGAGTCTTGTCCAACTCCAACAAATCTGCACATCATGAACCTGAGCAGTTGTTAGGAGAGAAGGATAGGCTTCTCTTTTAGAGCGCTCGTTTCATCTCTAACAAGAATACTGACAAAACACAGGTGTATCCTTTCCCTTCATCAAGTGCTTTACCTTTTTTCTTTTTTTCTTTCCTTTGTTCTGCCTTTTGGTGAACCCTCTGTACTTCCTTCAGAAGCTCACCTCTGAGCAAACAGCGGAAGGAGGCTGCCAGAAGGAGTCCTGCAGTTCGTGGTGCAGAGGAACCATACTGTGGTACAACAGCCATCTGCTATGTTTTTTGTAGCATCTCCTTGATCTGCCATTCTTTGCTTCCTCCTTTTGCTGGTTCTCACAGCAGTCTTATTCTCACGTTCCGGAGACTGAATTAGGAAAGTTACACATATCCCACCTGTTGCTTCTCTTTCTTCCCTGCTTATCGACTGTTAGCTCACTTGAACTTGCTCTAAAGAGAAAGTAACTCCAATTTCTTTCAAACAATCTGAATTCTTGTGGCAGTTTTGCCCTAACACAGTTAGGACCATTTCCAAACTTACAGCTAAAGCTGTGCCTACAGCCCCACTGCTCATCTTTCTCTTTTCTTTGCTACCCCAAGTGTTTGAATGTCATTGTCTTTGACTCCTACTAAGCTGTTCAGTTGCTGGCATGTGCACATCACTGCCACCTTCTTCAGAAAAACAAACAGGTCTGAAAGAACACCCCCATCCCCTCACACACCCCACCCCCTGTCAATACTGAAGCTTCCATACCTTGACCAGTTGGTGCCTTCTTCACTGACCTTTAACCTGAGTGGTCACAGTCAATCCAGATCATAGAACATAGCCACTCTTCTCCCTCTGGAAGTTTCTTCTGAGTATTGCAGAATTGCAGTATCTGACTTTGGTTGTGCCGTCTAAGCAGGTCTTGCTTTTCCTGGGGCAGAGCTGATGTGCTCCAGTTCTGGCTTCTGCATTGCTTCTCATGAGCAAGATGTGCTTCCAGTCAGAACACTCGGCAAGTCTTCTCTCCCCCCTTCCCTCTGAGCCCCTCACAGCTCTGTTACATGCATAAATACTGGAGCTTCCTAGTGGGCGCTGTAGGATTTGGACACTCTGGTTGTCTTTTGCCTTCTGCTGCGCACCCTCAGCCATCAGAGAAATTGGACATACACACTTCCGTGGTTGTGAGCTATTTCAGATGTGGGTGGCTCCTGACTCGGTTTGCTTTGAATTCTTGTGGTTTCTGTTGGCCTACAGCCTTAATTGCTGAAGTCAGAAGGACTTCTCTTGTCTGCGTGGTAGATGGGAGATAGGAAGCAGACGTTTTGCTGAGTGTCCCCTATGAGATGGTTAGATTGGTGACTATACAGCAATAAATCCACAGCTTCCGGGCTGTGCTTCCTGTGAATTGGCTGGCTTGCAATGAGAGAAACTGACGTGAAAATATCTGTGGATCAAAATACATTACTAATAAACCAATGTGGAAAATAAACCTGCCTGCAGTAGGTGTGGGAAAGAGGGTGAGATGATGAGCTGGCAGTGAGCCCTTGGGTTGGCTTGGTGCTCCAGCACATTCATCTCTGGTGGGGTGCAACCAGTGACTGCAAAGCACTATGTGAGCAAACCAAAGATGGTCTGAAATGTGCTGTTTGTAGCAGTGAGGTGACAAAGCTGGCCCACATTTTCATTGTCAGCCTTTAGCAGAAGCAAAGCTTCTACTTCTTAAAGGTACTTGCAGTGAAAGTTCTTATGCTTTGATAGAGGGATAGAGCAGAGTCTCTAAGCTGCCTTTTATTTTTATGCATTGATGTTTCTGAGCAGCTTGTGGTAATGTGCCTGCCTGCTGTGGCTGATAAATGGGAGCACCTTTTTTTGTGTGTCCTTGTTAACCACGGTACAGAGCTGAGTGTTGAACGCAGCTGTATCCACCTTATGTAGTGCCTGCGCTGGCCTTAGGCAAACAGGGCAAGGAAGGGTGGATTCTAAGCAAGTAATTTGCATTGTGCCACATTCTTCTTAATCTTTTGGCTCATCTGTATATGTGACATCAGTCATGTGCTGTCCTTACTTGCAGCAGGAGTTCCACTGCGCATATGTCAGTCCTTGACTGAGTTCTTGGCCTGCCGGGGTCAAGCAGTGTGACTGTTCTGTATTGATGGGGAATATTGTGCAGGCGCATAATGAATTTTGTTTAAAAAGCATTCAAGGCTACAAGGTGTAAATCCAAGTGGCTCTTCTGCTGCATGAATTCAGGGTCAAGTGTAATTACAACTTCTCTAGAAAACTAGTTTGTTCTGTTTGCCACAAATAGAAGCAGAAACCGTGTTTTCATGCAGTTGTTCTTACTTGAAATGGGGTCTTGGTACATTTAAACAATTGTTATAGCTGCCATTGTATTGCTGCGTGCTTGAAGGAATAAACCACTGAACAAAGTGCTGTTTTTTGTGTTTATTTGGGACCTCAGAGAGGTTGGGGTTGGAAGGGCCCTCAACGCCCACCCATCCTTGTGCCGTGGGCAGGGCTGCTCAGGGTCCCATCCAGCCTGGCCTTAGCGCCTCCAGGAATGGGGCACCACAGCTTCTCTGGGCAGCTGCACCAGCGCCTCCCTGCACTCTGAGTAATTAATTTCTTTCTGACATTTAATCCAAATCTCCTTTTTATTTTACTGCCCTTATCAGACTTTCTTCATGGTCTATTTCTCTCCTGTTTATAAGCTCCCTTTAAGTAGCAGAAGGCTGTAATGATGTCTTTCCCCAGCCTTCTCTGCCCTGAACAAGCCCTCCATAGCTGCAGCTCCCTGTGCAGAATCGTGCCCTCCTCTGAACCCGCTCCAGCAGCTCCTCCTCGTGCTGAGGTGCTGGACGCAGTACCGCAGCTGGGCCCTCGCACCGTTAATTCTTTCTTCCGCTTTTCCCCACTTTGGGAGCGCACTTTTAATTACGCGCGATGGCGCCGCGCACCCAGCACGGGGCGCCGCTCCGCAGGGCGGGAACCGCTCGCGGGGCGGGGCTGCGCGTGCGCCGTGCGAGCGGCAGCATGGCGGCGGCCGAGACGTGGGGCGCGGCGCGGTACTTCACGCGCTGGTACAAGGCAGGTGCGGCGCGGCCGGGCGGGCGGGATGGAGCTTGCCGGGGCGTCACCCTCACCCGTGTTTGTGGCCTCTCGCAGACGTGAAGGGGAGGCCGTGCGAGGACTTCTGCGTGCTGCAGCACTCCAACAGGCGAGTTGCCGGGCGGGGCGCGGAGTATTGCTCCCCCGGGCCCGGCGCCCTCTGGCGGCGTTGCGCGGCCGGGGCGGCCACGGGGCCGACGGTTCGTATTGCGGCCGCGCTGCCCCCGCCGCTCTGCGAGGGGGTGGGGGTGACGCCGAGCCCGATGCCCGCAGCTGAAGCTCGATTGTAGGTATTTATCTACTTACAGTGCTACGGGTACGGGCAGAGACAGCGCTGGAGCTGCTCCGAGCGCTCAGGGTACGGCTTTGCACCGCTACGGTACGGTAACTGTCGTTCCTGTTGCAGAATCTGCGTCATAACGTTGGCAGAAGCCCACCCTCTTCTTCAGCACGGAAGAACAATTACAAGCATTAATTACCAAATCAGTCCTAATTGTAGCAGGCTTCAGAATAAAGTCTCTGGGAAGTCCAAAAGGGTACGTGCGTGGGACTTTCTGATTTGCTTAGTTCTAGTCTGTCTCTCTCTCACTGCCTGGGACTCTCCCTCCTTCCCAGATTGACCCCTGGCAGTGACCCATCCTTTTTATTTTCAGCCCTCTGCAGGTAATTGTATTCAGACTTGAGAGAGAGACCCCCGGCCGGGAGGGTACAGGCTCTGAAGCACTGAGGGGTGCCAGTGTTGCTCCAACTGCTGCTAACAGTCTCTGCTAAGTCAATTTTGTAGAGTATACAGAGACACAAATATTCCTTAATAGATACAAACTTGTTTTCATAAAATACCAAGGATTTGGAGATTGTTTTGGTGGCTTTTTTTTAATTGCAGACCTCTGGTCTGTGACAGATGACAGAATGAGGGGAAATGGCCTCAAGTTGCACCAGGGTAATTTTAGGTTGGATATCGGGAAAAACTTCTTTACAAGAAAGGGTTGTTAAGCACTGAATGAAATAGGCTCCCCAGGGAGGTGGTTGAGTCCCCATCCCTGGATGTGTTTAAAAACTGGATGTGGTGCTCAGGACATGATTTAGCAGGGGGCTGTTAGAGTTAGGGTAGCACGGTTGCACTTGATTGATGATGTTTAAGGTCTTTTCCAACCTGAGCAACTCTATGATTCTCATCTACTCCTGTAAGGAAGTATAAATATGGAGCCCCTAATGACCTGTAGCTGTTCTCCTTACTTTGTTCTGTAATTCACCAACTTGTGTTATTGCTGATGTTTATGAAACTGTAAGAAGAGCTGGATAATTAGAAACACACATGTATTTTTTTTCCACATGCAGGGAGCTCAGTTTTTAACAGAACTTGCCCCGCTCTGCAGGATATCCTCATCAGATGGAGAAGAATATACCATTTACAGGTAAGGATTTTTACACTCCCACCCCCATCCTGACATACTGTGCACTTTTACTGAGTCTGAATACTTTTGCAGTTGTATACGAGGGCGACTGATAGAAGTGAATGAAAACATTCTTAGCAATCCAGCGCTTCTGCAAGAAAAGGTGAGAAGCTTTTTAATTCTTAGCCTTTATTTTACTACTTCAGTGCTAACATCGTTCCTCCATTTTAGCCATCAACTGAGGGATACATTGCAGTGGTTCTACCCAAATTTGAAGAGAGCAAGAGCATAACTCAAGGACTTCTGACACCAGAAGAATACAAGGAAGTTTTACTGAAACGTCAGAATTCTTCTTCAGGAAGTTAATTATACAGGCTAAATAAGCTGCTTTTACATCGTAACTTTCATGGCATTGAAAGGTGTGTCTGCTTATAAAAGTGGAACTTGACATATTTGTTTTATTCTTGTATGAAACAGGCAAAATAGTTTGTATATTAAAATTGTCTTCTCTCACAGCCGTAGTACGACAAATTTTTTACGTAAGCACAATTTTGGAGAGTAGTTATGTTTCAGGGATCTCTTTGCTCCTGGCTCAATGCAAACATAACACATAGAGAAAAAGCACAATTGAGCTGTTAGGTAATTTAGCCCTGTGTTGCATTAGTTTGGCTTGCCAAAGGTGAATTGAAAATAAAATGCAATAGGAGCCTGCCTACAACAAACAGTTAACCTTGAAAACAAGCATTTCACATCAGGTTACGATTCCTAGCACCCTGAAGTCAAATAATGCCCTTTTTATAGAGGTTTCTCATAATCAGTATCTATTTACTTCAGTTTTAAATGCTGTAATGTAAAGTCTACATGTAATGCTTCAGTGGTTCTACATGCAATTCAAATTCTGCTCAGTAAAGTTTAATCATAAAGGAAGCAACAACTGCCATCTACAGATAGAGACAGTGAAAGAAAAAGGGTTTTAGTCAAGAGTCTTAATCACTTAGGAGTACACTTTGGAAATATGAATAATGTCAGCAAAACTAAGATTCAGTGTCAAGCTCTCCCCAGAGTGTTTTTTCCTTAGGACTGAACTTCATTGTAGTATAACTAAATATTTCAGTGCTTTAGGCCACAACCTTTCAGACTACATTCCTGAATGGGCTTCATAAATCCATAGACTGAATTGGGCCAGAGAGGAGTTTACAAACATCAGCAGTAGTGTTACATAGAGCACAGGGTTCTTTACATGAAAGGTCTGTTAGCAGCATCTTTGGGTTGAAACATCCATTAAGACATTCGTAAGCATTAATTACAAAACCAGTATCAATAGTGAGCATAGGAAATTCATTCACATTATGAAAATACATAATGATTACACTACTTGGTGCTGTCATTGCTAAGTAACAGGACATCTATTAGATGTGACAAAGGTCAATAGGTTTAATTCAAATTAACCTGGTTTGACTTTCCACAAATGAAAGCAAAATTGAAACTTCAGCAAGAGTTATTTTCCCTAATGGAGCTTCTGCAATTTCTAAGTGCTGTAATTACTTGCTCTCTAAAAATGTCATTTTAGTTACGTGATTTTCCAAAGATTTGATACCAAACATCTCCACTCTCCTTTCTGGAGCGTGTGCGTTTGTACTGGTTCGTGTTCTGCCTTCTTTCCACGGGGGAGCAGGCTTGAGATAGCCATTCCCTGCTTTATTCTGTATACAAAGACAACATATTATAAAAAGCAAGCAAACATACACAAAAACACAAAAACAAACAAGAAATCCCAAGTTTAAAATACTGCAGACAGACCAAGGACTCACCTTTCTCATTAATTTGCTGCAAACTGGAAGAAGTTGACATAACAGAGTCATCACATTCCTTGTTTTCTGAATGCATGCATCAACCTATACAAGACAGTTACAGTTGAGTAAGACCACTGATCACTTCCACTAGGCAACATGAGATGAAAAATCTATTTTGAGCTTGAAATGAATACGAAGGGTAAACACAAATCCAATCTTTTCTAGTCTAAAGGTTTTGTCAGCCTGCTCAACTTCTGTAGTGTTCATAATGCAGCAGCATCCCTTCTGTTAAACCAAGACAGAAGCTGTGAAGGAGAAGAGAATGATGCACATCCCAGGAGAGGGAGCTAAAAATAATATTAAAAGAGTAACATACATGTCTCGGAAATAAAGCTCTCACTATTTAAGTGTGCTTATCACAGTTCTTCATCTGTTTTTTTTGTTTGTTTGTTTTGTTTTTTAAATTCTTTTCAGCATGATTTTAGAAAGTAGTGCATCACAGAAGCCTTACTTTGATATGAGTTACATTAAAACTACTCAATTATCGGAACTTAAGCCAAAAGCACAGCACAGATCATTAGGTTTAGGCTGTCCAGAAACATTAATTTGATAGCCTTTAGCACTATGTACCTATAGAGTCTGGAGCTCCCGTTTAGTCTAGCTAGAGCATGTGGAAGAAACCAAGCAACAGCCCTCAGGTGCTCAGTTTGGGTTTGATTCCTTTGGATGGCGTAGCTGGTATCAGAACTGAGCTGTTTCTCCTACAAAATGGAAACATCTCTTACAGAGCCAATGGGAAACCAACACCCAGGTGTACAGGACTGCTCTTCTTAAGAAGTTCTGCTTCTGTTTGCTGCTGTCATTTGTAGACCATTGTAATCATGGTAACAGTGCAGAAACTTTTATGACAACTATGTAAAAGTTGATGTATAACAACTATTAGGATGGACTCTGCCTTTGGAGAAGCAGCATGCATTTTAATAAAGGAGAGTATTCAGGGATTGGAATTTATGTTTATCTAAAGCATCAATTACAAGATCATAACTAATTATGACAACGGTAGTACAAATTACCTTCATTAGTACACTTTGAGCACTGAAGTCTTTTCTTAGGAGTTACACTTGACTACAGCTCATATTTCTTCAAATAAAGTTCTGTGTGTTACAGTAAAATAAATTCATCTCTTATTGAGCTGAGAATTCTGAGTTTCACCATTACAGATAGTGGGTAAGTTGAGGAAAACTTAGACATGAGTTCCTTGACAAAAGTCACCAGCAATAAAAAGTAATACACAGTAATGGCACCCTACAGACATCTAAGAGCATCAGTGTCTTGGGAAACATTTCTAACTCAACCAAAATGTTAATTTTGGTAATTTTAGAAACAGAAAGGAAAAGATCTTTCCTAAATCCTGTTACATACTGATTCTGCAGCTCACATGGTAACCTACTGGCAGGGAAAAACATTAATATCACAGAATCACAGAATGGCCAGGGTTGGAAGGGACCTCAAGGATCATGAATCTCCAACCCCCTGGCTCATGCAGGGCCACCAACCTCCCCATTTAATGCCAGACCAGGCTGCCCAGGGCCCCATCCAACCTGGCCTTGAACACCTCCAGGGACGGGGCATCCACAGCCTCTCTGGGCAGCCTGTTCCAGCACCTCACCACTCTCATAGTAAAGAACTTCCCCCCTGACACCCAACCTAAATCTTCTCTCCATCAACTTAAAACCATTTCCCCTTGACCTGATATTAATGATATGCCTGTGGCCAGTGGGCTAATTATATAAAATGCGGATATCCATGCTCCCTAAAGAAAATAGTCATGAAGGCCTGAAGAATAATGCTACCCAAACTATCCACCTGCACACTTCCATATACTGTATACTGGGTGCCAGCTTGTTGTATTTTGCCTCTCTTCAAACTCTCAGCATGAATAATGGGGTCAGGATAAACTTCCTTGAAGCCCTTCTGCTAAGGGGAAAAAGAGTCCAGAAAACAATTGCACCGAGGCTGAAGATCCTTTCTGACACAAAGTTCTGCAGTGAATGGCTGGGGTTACAGCTACCAGTAGAGATGGGAAAAAATATTCTCATTAGGAGGAACAGTTCTTACTGTTCTTCCTCTATACTTAGCCCATAAGCTTCTCAAAAGATGTGAAGAGCAAAACAGTATTTCAACTGGAGGTAAATTCCTTCTCATAAAGAACAGTAACCACAAAGTATTACATAGCAGATTAAAAGATTAAATGCTTCCACAACATTATGCAATTCTGTACCTCTTAAGGTCTACCTCCTTCTGCCAATCCTGGAAGTTCATCTGTTTTGTATGTTATCAGGACCATAAACTAGTAAGTCTCTGTATTTCAAAACCAGTTAGGTTTTATTTTCAGACATAGGTAATTTTTACTTTACCTTTGTAAATGTAGCACTTTTACCCTGAACAGAAGTTTTTGCTGTTATCTGGAGCTGCTTGCATATGGGGATCAGTTTTTCAGCCTCCAACAGTAGCAAAGGTTTGTCATCATCATGTACCTGAAATGCATTTTAGGAAAACAAAACCACTCATTGTTACAGACTCACTATTAGGTTAATGGAGAAAGCAACCAGCTTTTAAGCAGTATCACTGAAGCTGTGAGCTGAATGCCTATCCTAGTTGCCATACATCACCTGATCAGAAAAGACTTGAAGAGCTGAAGCAAGCTTAATTCCTTCTGTTGCAAAAATCTGAAAGAGAAAAAAAAAAAAAAAAACATGTAAAAAAGTAAAAAACAAAACAAAACAGAGCACCACAAAAAAATGAAGCTTTTTCCACTGTTTCAATAAATAGTTTATGAAAAAATAAAAGAGTAACAGAAAATATTTATGACAGTTGCACACATTTGTAGTTTAAAAATTTGCAGTGACTTTTGAAGTAAAAACACTACAAACTGTTATTTCCCCATGGCAAAGTTGAAAGATTTTCCCTTTACTTATGAAATACATCCAGCACCTAATTGGTTTTGCACTGGAGCAACTCACAAAAGTTTGGTGGGTAGATGACTCTCAGCCATATGTGTTGTGACCAGTCTCCTGTTGGAGGTTCACACATCTTGGTAATGTCATTCTACGTTCCCTTATTTGGTCTCTTGTTTTTAGAACCATAGAATCATTAAGGTTGGAAAAGATAAGATTAAGTCCAACCCCCAACCCACTCCCCCCACATCCCTCAGTGCCACATCCTCATTGTTCTTGAACACCTCCAGAAACAGTGACCCCACCACCTCCCTGAGCAGCCAGGCCACTGCCTCACCCTTGAGAGATTCTTCTTACTATCCAGACTGAACACCCAATGGCACAACTCAAGGCCATTCCCTGTCATCTTAACACTGTTACCTGGGGGAAGATGCTGACCCCTACATTGCCACAACCTCCATTCAAGGTCATTGTAGAGGGTGATAAAGTCTCCCCAAGCCTCTTCCAAACTGAACAGCCCCAGTTCCCTCAGCTGCTAGTAAGACTTGAACTTCACCAGCTTCATGACCTATCTGTATATTCCAATTTATTTTTATTTTTAAAAATCTTTTTCCTCCCCTAGGAGAATACCATTGCTCAGACTAAGATGGAGTACTTGTTAACACCATCAGGAACTGAATTAAGTGACATAGTGAAGAAAACTATCTCATTAAAGGCAACTGTATTTCCCACTTGTAACAGGAATCTCAGTTTAAGCAGCTGTCT